CGTATAAACAGTGCACATTAACAACACTTTTTACATGTTTCATACTTATCTACTGCGTTCCTGACAACAAATTCCAGTGTACAGGAATGCACTAGATTCCTGATTTAACTGGCAAACAAAATCAACGAGTGATGCAGGCAATAGTCCTAAATAGTTGCATATATATCGCATACAAAATTGCCCCACCCCCAACAAGAAGGCAGAGTAATAAAAGTCAGCACTGAGATTTACGAGACATCAATAACACATGAGATCCAGACGTTTAGAAACATTAAAGCAAACGGGGCTCTCAATAGACTCTTGAAAAACATTTAGCAGGTGAAGTGTCACTCTGATTAGATACAGGCCAGGGCATTCCAATGTAAATATTATTTCAGGAGATAGGATGATAGCCCAATGGTTGGGAAATGACCAAATAGAATTTGGCACTAGAGCACAGGTTGAGCCTTGTTTTTTTCTCTTTTTGATGTTCTTCATCGGTTTGTAAATACAATGGATATAAATGAGTAGATACTAGTAAATTGCATATTGTCCCATTGGTACCACCATTACAGCTAGGCATGCTAAAGAAATCATTCAGAGGTTTTTCGCAGTGCACAGATAAACTGTGCATTACAGAACGCTCAAACTTCATTGGAAGTAGCTCCACGGTGAAGACAGTCTGCAAAATATTTTAACTCCCTATGTTATGCGAATAGACTTTGTGCAAAATTATGCATGCAACAAAGAGCATGCAGGGAATATAGTTACTGGTGCTGTGCATGCCAGCGTTGGCAGCAGCAACTTTTTTAGAAGCAAAAATCTAAAACAAGTGGCGCTTTTAATTTTTTTCTATTTAGTTTTCTCGTTAATACAGGTAAGGCTGTTGGCGCACGCACCACGTGCAAACTACGTTTCCTGCAAGCTCCTTGATGCTTGGGTAATTTTGAGAAAGGTTAAACATTAAAAGTGATCTTTTGAATTAGGACATTGAAAGGCTGCCGTTTGCCATCACTAACAGATGTAGCCCGGCTGCTGAGTTGCTTGCCTAGCTTGTTAGAGAGGGCAGTCTCTTACGACCTTCCCATCTGGCAATATTCATAATCTTCGAAGCCACATGCTTGTTGAGAAGAGCCAGCATTTTGGGGATCTGACATCCATGCTGGGCCTCACAGTTGCAATCGGTCTTGACCTTACGCTCGCACGTGGTCACGCACTGGGGGTTACACTTTCAACAGTGCACCGGGTAGTGCAAAACGAATGCTACAAAAACACACATACTTCAGTTCAGCTGATTTAGAAAAAGAGTTGTATGCTTTCTTTTCTGCAAAACAAATACAAATTGATCCAGGACTCAAAGCGAAAACTCAAAGAATATTGTGCCTCTAGCAAGATGCACCTAATTACCAGTGGCACTATGTTGCCTTATGACAACTCTCTTTTAAGCAAAACAAGACTTGCAATAGAATAAAAATGTGCACTATAGCAGGCTTCCTCTGGAAGTCAATGGCTCCACTATACATTGGCTCGCAGCATATCTTATTTAGCCAAAATGAGCTCTGGATTACAGCCATTTCCTCAATCAACTAAATATACATAAATGCTAACACACTGATCATTGGTTGGAGAAATACCCTACTACAAAGAAATTAATTAAAGTAATTCTTACTGGCAAGAGCCTTGAACTTAAAATCCTCAAGTGCCGGTTTAGGTGAATTCTTTGTGCCTCCATTCTCTTTGAGATTGAAAAGTGCCAGTGAGAACATGGGATTCGATTGGAGGCCTCCTGTAGTGCAGGCTACTGTTCGGGAGCACCTTGGGAGCACCCTGTCGTTTCCTTTCACTCACGCGATACAAGAAAACTGATACTCCCAATGGTGTGTTTCCTGGGGAATTCTTCACAATTCAAAATCAGTATGGTGAATATATAAGCTTCTACAGAGATGGTACAAAGACGGATTCTGCTGTTGGGTGTTCCATGACTCGCCCGAGCTTTCAACTTGCTAGCGAATCAACTCCTCTGCTTCTATTTTCACAGCAGAACTCTATGGTCTGCTTCTAACCATAAGCTACATACTTAATAAAACGCAGTCTCACTCTATCGCATACACTGACTCTTTTAGTGCATTGCATGCACTGTCTCTTCTAACATCCCTCCAGCACTTCCTGCTCCTTGAACTCTGAAATAAGGTTGTTGCCGCCTCAAGGCAGGGGAACGAAATTATATTTTGCTGAATTCCCAGCCACGTGGGCATTCCAGGCAATGAGGCAGTAGATCGCACAGCAAGTGCTTGCGTGAAGTGAATTTCCACAACATTCCTCATGCAGACTACAAAGCCATTCTCGGGCATCACGTTAAGTCCAAGTGGCAGGCTGAATGGGATCAAGAAATCAGCATCAAGTTGCACATGATCAAACCTCTTTTGAGCGAATGGCAGAGTGCACGCCACCAGGAACGCTTTTTTGAGGTTGTCGATTGGTCACACTCATCCGACTCATGGCTACCTTCTTCGTGGGGAGGATGCCCCCACTTGTGAGCAGTGTGACAATGCCTTAAGCCTTCTACATATGTATGCTAGTCGAACGTCCTGCCTATGATGAATACCTTTTGTATTTTTTGCAACTGTATCAAGAACAAGTCCCACTACACCTAGCTCTGCTCTTAAGTGATGATTCTCTTGTGACACACACTGTTTTCAAATTTTTAGATAGTATCGGCTTTCTACACCGATTGTAGCTTTCTTAACCTACAGATCATGCCCATCACCCTTTTAACTTTTGGTATTTGACTACCATCTTTTATTTAATCACTGGCTACTAAATCCTCTTTTTTTTCTCTAAACCTTTTCTAGCAATAGTCTTGTTTTTGGCACTCTATGACCTTAGTAGCTTTTGCACCATAAACACCAAATCAACCAACTACTTCCCTGTTGAATGGAAACGGGCTGAAGTTATATCGCTGTGGAAATCTGACAAGGACCCTTCCCTCCCTGCAAGTTATAGAGTAGACCAATAGCATTGTCAAGTTGTTTGGGGAAAACCTTTGAAAGAATAATGAACAGGCATCTTATTTATTTTCTCGAGCAGCATAATATCTTGGATATCATTCAGTGTGGCTGTCGGCCTGAACGCTCTACAACAGACCACTTGGTGCGGCTGGAGACCTTTGTGCTTAATGCATTCGTCAACAAGCAGCATTGTGTATCATTTCGACAAAAACCCCGAGACTGGGACAAAAAGGGACGGACAAACACAAAGTCTCAAACACAGCTGAATTTTATTTGACAAGGAAGGGTGCTTATATAGGCGTCAAATCCTACACAAATCAAAAGAGACGAAGGAAAGAGAGGGAGAAACCTTCACAAACAAGAGACGAAAAAAAAAAAAAAAAGAAAACCCGTGCCACAAGCAGTACAACAAAAAACAAGCATTACAATAGAACTGAAAAGTTTATACAAAAACAAAAGCTAAGTAGAAGGAAACGTCGAAGCACGTTTTATCGAAGCACGGTTTAGAGAAAGCAGAGCCTCATTTTAGAGAAACGCCGTTTATTGAAAAGGGGACGCTTTTTAAAAAGTTTTTCTACTTCTCGCGTGTATCACTGGTGCGCGTTTTAAGTCATGCCCCCTGCTGCGCTCCCGCCGCTTCGCGGCGGCATCTCTGGCGGCTTATTAAAAAAAGGTTAACTCATCTGATTTATGTGTACATGCCGCTTTGCGGCGGCCGAATTCGCTGAAAGGAGGCTCATCGCCATTTTCTCTAAACTGGGTTCTCTATAAAGGCATGCGATAAACCGGGGTCGTTAATACGGCGTTCGCCAAAACGAGCTTCTTTAAACCGCATGCTTCCACGACTGATGTAAACAAGACGGCCGACATAACATTTTCTGGTCGGAATTTGAAAACTGCGAAGCTTGGTAGAGTAATACATATCTGAACAACGGTAAATGTATGTGGTGTGTCTCCGTCATATTGAACTTGAACGATCGTTCACGTTGTGTGCCGTCGAACCAAATCATTTGGTCTGCTCGCGGTCACCTCAGCAACTAGTCTGCCCGCAGATCGCAAAAATTTACTAGCATGCACAGTTTACAGCATTCACGACCGCTTACCATTGTGAGCAGTCCTCGAAATGATCTGGTTCAACCTCTCTAATGAAGCAGAGTAACAGGATGGCAAATTGCCTCCCGCTGTCTTAAAGGGATACTACAACGAAATTTCGGCGCTCATTTTTTGGTCTATATGTGTTCAAAAAAGCAGCATCACATCGAACATACCAATATCTTGTTAAAAAAAGTCACGAAAAGGAATTTTAAAACGAATTAAACGATTAGCAAAGAGCACCTGGTGGATATCGCTAACGCCTTGCTTGTAATGTCCGTCTAGGAACCTTGACAGCTAGTGACGGAAGTTGTCTCGCCTCCGGCGACGACGAGAGAAGAGGGGCAGCAGGAACTCCCCTCATCCCGAGAATGCCTTTTGTGTGTCGCAGAAGTCGCTATTGTCCCCCTACAAGATTACAGAAGATTAACCCGTCACTCAAAATTCATACAAAAGCAGCCGCTTCGGTGGCTGGAACGACTAGGCCATCCTCTCGACGTCAGCCTCGCCGTAGCTTTGCTCGTCCTGAGACGACCTACGTCACTATAGCATTGGATGTCACATGGTCTCCGCTGGGCCTTCTCCGAGCGCTTGCCAGAGTGGGCCATTTATAACAAAAAACACAGCCACCAGGCTCAAAATACAAACGTGCGATTGTCATTTACGGATATTGTGGATCATATTCAACCTATTTTTGAACACGACGGAAATATTTCAAATTTCGTTGAAGTATCCCTCTAAGGCTTACGCTCGGCTGGGTCAACGGAGTCAATCGCCAAACTGACCGCCATCTTTTTTTACCCGAGTCGTGAACGGTTCTGGCTGCGTTATGGTGACGACTCCAGCGGCCGGAATGGGAGAAACGAACGAGAGGAGCCTCTGACACCCCAAACGACTTGTGCGTGCATGTGCAGTGGCGTCGCCGATGCGTTCGAGGACGAACCATACATGCTAACCGTAGTGCCATTGAAGCGAGTTCGTTGCATGTCTTTTTTTTATTTTTTTAAATCTTAGAAGCGCTTTACCTAAAATGATATCGGTATGATTTTTGGGCCAAGTATACTCAAAATCGAACGATTTATATCAATATTCAGTACAGGAGGAAATAGGAACACAAATTCGGGCCAAAATATGGTTAAAGCTTTTGTTCTCCAAAGGATGGCACTTGGATGTGCCTGTAGAGTGCCCTCGGACTGCACTTGAGCGCACTGCAAGAAAGCCGTCGGACGGCACACTAGAGACTGCGCTTGGGCAAGTCCAAATGCATGTTCTTTATTGCGCGTGCTTGCACACACAAATAACAGACGAGTTTTATAGTCACAACGTTTTAAGGCGTCTCTAATGTTTCTCAGTAAATAGCACATACAGGTAGGAATGAAACAACGAACACATGTTTTAATATACACTAAAATGTACACAATGCAAGCAATTCAAAATAAGAAAGCAGAAATGTGTGTCTCATTCACAGAAGTTGACAATTAGACACACATAATGATCAGCCTCGAGCATTTTCGTACAGCTCAAAGTAGGGAATTACCTCCCTCCCATCGGACGTATTGTACAAGTCTAACGCATGATATTCAAACTTTTTTTTTTTGGGGGGGGGGGGGGGGGGGTTTAACATGCAGTACTTGTTGAGGTGCACTACTTCATAACTTTGCCGGTGGCGACATCTTACTGCATGAAGCTTCCAAACAAAACTTAAGGTCGAGCCCCGGAACACGACCATCAGAAACACTTGTGAAAATGCAGGAGGCCCATCTTATCAACTGGTACAATACACTTCCCCTTTTTGATACTGGCATTTGTCGAAAGCCGCCGATATCCCGCTGTGCATGCTCTCCTCTGGACCCGGTTTGTCGGGGAACAGGTCCTGAACATCTGGGTCCAGAGTTTTCCATTTAAGCATCTTCCCGCATGTCATGCTTAGTTGCTCATCTAACTGAATGCATGAAAACTGGTATCTGGTAGCCACAGTCTTGCAGATGTTCTTGAAATTTCGTGACCGAGTTGCGATGGTCTTAAAGTATGCATGTTTCGACTCGAATTGCATGCTTCACTAGTGGCAGGGAGGTCCAAACATTCAAATCGATCTTGGATAGTGCACAAGGTAGTGTAACTTGGGTATTAACCTCAAGCCTGGGAAAAGCCTCACCAACTGCCTAAGGAACGCATCAATCAGAACTGCAAGGAAGATAGTAGCACCACCTGGGATTTGGTTGGCAAGAATGATGTTCAAAATTTTCTTGTACTTGAGGTAAACCTGCCAATATTTGTTTCCTACAGGAATGTCTTCGGCAAGCAACTGAGGTAACAGACGAAACAAACACCATTTTTGACTTGCAGTGCCCTTTAGTTTGCCATCTGCTTTGTTTGCGCTAGGCGGTTTCGACTTTTTATAATAGAATCCAAAAGAAAATTTGTATATTGCATCAAAGCAACTAGACTTGAGAACACGAGGGGATATAAGCTCCGTCAGCACATGCTCTAACACAAATGCAACGCCTCCTTCAAGCACGTCGTGCATTGCATGCGGAAAAGGCTGCACAGTTAAATCAAAGTCTTGGAGAGAGAGCAGCGAGGAATTTCATTTAACACCATATAGCTTGGAGTTCGCTGGGTTCACCTCCACAGCCGCGATTTAGCTCTTTTGAGTGTCTGCAGTGCGAAATACACAGCAACACAGCAAGCCTCCTTAGGGAGTCGTGTCAGCTTCTTGGACGACGCTAAGCAAAATCTACAGAATCTTCCTTTCTCAAAGCAAGCACTAAAGCCGCCAACACGATGCAAAGGGAGATGGTCACCGATACCGACGACAGTCACTATCATGTGATGGTGGAACCCGTCATGACACACATCAAAACTGCTCTCACTGAAAAAAAACAATTTAGAAATAATCGGATCCAAAATTTGCTGCAATCCATGGGTTTTAACTTGTGTATTTCACTGAGGCAATCAGGTGCATAGAACACAGCTGTGATCTGTACGTGGGGTTTAGGTTAAGAATAGAAAAGTACACCACCAGCACTTTGTGCACTCCGGCAGCTGGTCCAAGTGGATTGACAATCTCAAGCTCGTCAGTATAAAACAAAACGAAAATTGTGTCTTGGTCCCCAATGCGCATGAGTGCGTTTGTGAAGAACTCATCTTTTACAACTTTAAGCATCCCTCCAGCTGAGACGTCTGCCCTTAGCGGCACAGTTGAGCCAAGAATGTGCTCTGCAGCATCAGTTTTCAACAAAATCGTCAGTACACTCTGAATCGGGACATAGTGGAAAGCAGACTTCGTGGGAGCGGGGTTTCCCACAACGGGGTTTCCCCACGCTGGTCAACGTAATCTCTTTCGCATATTTCATGTGCGCACGTTGGATTCTCTCATCTGTCCAAATCAAGTCAAAGAAATGATCGCTAAGTAGAGACCGAAGTGTGTCATGCAAGCTCACCTCGAGAGTGGCCTTAACATGGTCTCAAAGCATCCCATGGAGGAGTTGAAGGAATGTTTTTTAATCCGAAAATATATCGTCAGTGACTGTCTGGGCGATTTGGTGCTCTTCTGTTACCTTGAAGTAGAATAGCGCCAGATGTCTCTTCAAATTGTTCAGGGGACCCAAAGAAGCTGCTTTGCGGCTTGGCTTTGTCTTGTCGATTTCTGGGCCGTCTTCCCCTTAAGCGTCATGTCTTCGGAGGGCGGCATATCAAGACCATCCATCTAAAAATAGCTCGGCTGTAGCTTTTTCATGAAGTAGCCGTGCGCCCGGTAGAAGTGCCTTCGAAAGGTCTGGAACGCCTTGAATGTTTCGGGACGTCCTTGTACTCTACACTGAATTTGAAAATGTGGCTCGTTGGAGTGAACTTTCCCAATGTGGGTCATAAGTTTGCTGAATTCGGTGTCGAAAAAAGTGCACCTGGATCAGAAAAAAGCCATAAAAAGGCAAAAAAGCTTGATCATACCTACCAAGACCGGGGAGCACAGATTGCGTTACGTGCAAACTACCACTTTGCACAAATTGACATCACGTGAGATCAGGAGTCAAATAAAGTGGGACGCAACATCATTTTTCCGATAAATTTAGCGAAAAATAAACGCCACGTGACAATTACTTTTCCGCTAAACTTAGCTGGAAAATTCATGTGATGTTTATTCGCGGTGGTCTTTGGCGTGGAGTGCAACTGATACAACGCAACAGATTCTGTGTTCAAAAGACAACTGTAAAGGGGTTTCTGTGTTCGGTACTCGCACAGGGAGGAGAAAGGAGAACCGATATCCGACGGGCAGGTTCCGTTTCACGGTCCCTTAGTGAATCTTGAAGAGCTTAGTCACTCCCGTTTGAAGTTGCGGGCAGAAATCGTGATGGCTTCGAAAAGTGACTCTCGTGCACAACCATGTCAGGCCGCAGCTGGTCGAGGGAAGAGCACCCTGCGTGTTGGAATGCACACAACATAGTTATACTTTTTACATGGCGCTTTTTATCATAACTCGATCGATTTTCGTCTCTTGTTGCGTTATACAGCAACGTCGTCGATGGAAGTTTTTAGTGACGGCTCTTTTTATATTTGTGCGTGTGCGCGTGCGTTTGTGTGTGTACGTGTATGAGTGTGCCAACCCGATGAGGTCCTCAATGTGTAAGCAGGGTGTCTTTGTAATTATTTATATCCGGTACCTTCCAAATTTGGCTCAATCTATCGGCGACTCCAGCGAAGTCGATGGCGCCTGGCGATTAGAACAAAAATCTGTGGCGGCAGGTTGTTCGCTTGCCAGCGTTCTGGAGCGAATCAGATGTTCACGGCGTTCGATGGTCTAAAGACAAAACCGCGAATGTGGGTTGAAGAAGAGGTGGTGAAAGTCACCAACACTCCTTTTCACCCCCTGTCCCGTGCGCCGCATCTGACGCTACAGTCCAATGGAGCCAATCCAGCAGCACCGAAAGTGCCTCGTCACTGTGCATGCGTCGTCTTCGTGCGGTTGATATCACCGGCTACACCGGTCACGCACAGTGTTTGCCCCATGATCTAGGACTATTTTCTCTGCGTAATTGGATCAGCCAGTGACAGCAAACAACAAAAGACGACGAGACACATTTTTTGACGTTTGTTGATTGCTTCCATCCGATGGTAGGGTTGGCTGTGGATGGACCTGAAGTTCGTCTGCTTCTTGCGCAGGGGGTTGTGGGGATGTCAGAACGCCGAGTCCTGGTTGGTTCTGATTGAAGGATAGTGGGTAGAACTTGAGGCAGCTTGCTTTGAGGTGTACCCACTATCCTTCAATCAGAGCTCGGCGTTCTGACGTCACAACAGCCCCTGCAAAAGGTGCAGACGAACTTGCGCTCCGCGTAGCTTGACTCGTGTCGCAGTTTCTACCACCGTAACGGCCGCGTAGAAGAGGCTTAATCGAGGAATAAAATGTCGGTACCTCACGGTGCGAAAGTAATTCATTTAGCGTCTTATTCGAGCTTCTCGTCAAAGCTAGGAAGCAGCCCGCGTCTGGCAGAGTCAAAGACAGCGTGCAGCAACACATGTAATTTGATTTGCAACGGTGTACAACTGTCAATAGTGCGAGTCACGTACCACTCTAATGGCGTGCCGCTGCATGTGCGTTATTATGTCACTACCGGATTGTGCGTTTATATAAAAGCTTTGTGTTCCTCGAATAAACTTGTTGTTCACCTCTTGACACGCAAGGGTCGTACATGGTGTCAGAAGTGGCCGTAACAGGCTGTACTCTGCCCGCGGGACTCCTTGCCACGACAACCACCTATAAACCTTGACGCGAAGCAGCGTTTGTTGCATAAATGTGACCAGTAAAACACGTATTTCAGGAATATTCCTACTTGTTGCACCAAGGATCTAAATTTTGCGGGCCATTTTGTGTGCAAAGTGTATTTTGAGATGCCCATATAGTACCAAACTCCCCGAGTGGATACGCAGGCGCACCAAAAGTGTTAATTTTGAAAATGATGAAGAGGAGAAAATGAATCTGCTGTAACCAAAATATTTTAATATTTTTATTTTCGTGTGGTACATTTATAATGAACAGACACACGAGGCACACGTTGAGCAATTCTCAATGCAACGGTTACAAAACGCTTACAATTAAAAAAAAAGTATAGAGCAAACATACAAGCATGAACTACGTATCTGCTCGCTCATTTCATCGTACACTGCTGTTTTTGTTTTGTACATTTCCTTAACGTGCTCACTCACAAAAGCAGGAAGTAAGAAAAAGAAACAGAATGAACAGATTGTAGCAATGAGAACACGTGCATAAAAGAGACAGATAATTTCAGCCTTTCGCGGAAGCACGCAAGTTAAAATAAGAATTCTTCCAAATAATATGTCAAATAATGCTACGGAAAAGACCCGAAAAAATATGTATGCTTCACATTTAAATTTGATCAGCGTCCAAATAGTTGGATCGCGAGCACAGCATTTGACACTTCACAGTGGTGTTTTACACTCTCAGAACACACAAATAAAAAAACTATTACAGTTCTTCGATTCTATACAAATATAATCTATACAAATAGATAAATACAAATATAGATACACACGACTGAGAAAATAACAAGCTTCAGGAACGGAAGATATTTCAGAGCGTATTCTTGAGAAGAGTGGTCTTAGATTTCAACATGAAACGTGTTTTCTCTAACTACCGTTCGATGAATGAACTCGTTAGCCACAAGATCTAGATCCACTTGCCTAGCGAGCTCTTTGTGGCAGTGGAGCAAGGCGGTATGGTTGAGTCTGGCCTGTCCCATTGTTGAGCGCAGGTAAGTTTCAACTCTCCGGAGACACGAGAAAGATCTTTCTGACGAACAGGAAGTCACAGGAATCGTCATTGCGATTTGTAGAAGTTTGACAACTTCTGGAAGGAGCACCCTCAAGGATTCACCTGCTTTTCCCGAAAGAAGGTCCACCACATCTTGAAATGTGACAAGACTCGTTGCACATTGCTTTGCTATGTCCAGTAACATATCGCGGTGAAGCTGAAGACGCACAGCGTTGAGATCTCCTTTATAGAATTCGCAAAGGTACGTGCTGTCAGTTTCACCTGTTACGAACTACTCTACTTGCGTCATGTGATGCCACATTTCTGGCGGAAACCGCGTGCGCAGCGATGCATGCACCGTGTCGATGACTAGATAGAACCGTTGCCGGTAGAAAGCTTCCGGGGAATTAAAGTCATGAGCGTGCGATCCTTCATCATATCGACGTGGTGCCTGCCGCGGTCTCTTCGAAACGCTTGGGGCCCCAATCTCCATTTCACGTTCTTCATCCGACACATCGGCCCAGAAGCTGGAGAAGTCCTCGCGGAGTTGACCGATACTCTCTTCAACAGCCTTAACTAAAAGCTCTGCTCGGGTGAACTCTAAGCTCTTCTTTTGGAGAGCGGTGTTTACACTTTCCAACCTCTCAAAGACAAGGAGCATAAGCCTAAGTGGAAAATAGGTGTCAAATTTTTGAAGCGTTTTCGCGTACCCACTCGCTTTGGCTCCCGTGTCATTTTTTTCTTCCGATGAAAGAGTGAAAAGGAATTTGGTTAGTTCGGAGTAGTTACTGGAGACCGACCGGAGCGAGCACGCCTTTAACGTCCACCTAGTTTTGCAAAACTGTCTGAGAGCAGGGTTTTCCTGTTTTTGAAACTGCTGGAACCAGCTGAGACGTTTTGGGGATGTTTTAACAAAATTGACGAGGTCCGTAAACAAGCTAACAAAATCCCGACAGACATCAATTTTCGTGCACAAATCTTGCAAAGACGGGTTCAGTGTGTGCGTAAGGCAGTGCACATACAAAGCCCTTGGTTCGATGTCTTGAACGAGGGCCTGAAGCCCACCGCTCTTGCCGGAAACATTTGCAGCTCCATCATAGCATTGACCACGGCAGTTCTCAATCCGAAGATTGAACCGACAAAGCACGTCTTTCAAAATGGAAAAGAGAGTACGGGCTCTGGTGTCCGCTGTTGCATAAAATCCAACGAATACCTCCTCCACTTCTAAGTTTTCCTTAGCATACCGAAGGCAAAAGGATACTTGCTCTTGCGTAGTTATGTCAGAAGTTTCATCAGCAATAACAGCATAAAACCCTGTCTCGTGCACTTCTTTCATTAGAGAGCGAAGCATGCTGTGCGTTATTAACTCGAGCATCTCGTTCTGGATGTCACCGGAGGTCCATTTATAGCCTGTTCTACTTAGCCATGCTGCTAATCCCGGTACATCGGCTTCGCGCAACAGTAACAGTTGCTTCAAGTTCCCCTCGTCGTCATCGTGTCCCCGCAGCGCTAGACCTTGGAAAGCCAAAAAGCGAATAGATGACAATATAGCCATCAGAGCTTTACGGCTTTCCTTCATTTGGTTTTGTTTAGACTCTGAGAGAGCAGATGCCACATTTAGCCCCATGTTTGAAGCTGTCAGAGCGATGGAGGCTGCGCGATGCAATGCCGAGTTTTCGTGGCTTTTAAATCTTTGCAGTGCTTTTTTTCAGTTCTGGAAGCCAATTTCGACAAAAGCAATCAATGAGTCTTTGTCTCGGGATGTACGCGGTAGCGGAAGCTTCTTGTCAGTAGCAGTTACGCAGGTGTCACAATACACCTTACCGGTTTGTGCATTGTAGGAAAGCCAGCTGTAGGTAGATTCCCAACTCTTCAGAAACCCTCGTCCACCGTTGCCTTTAGCGGGCGCCGGCCGAGTCTGTTCGGGACGCCCATGAGTGCTTGGTTTTCCAGTTGTGGCCTCCCCATTCTTTGAAGCTGACTCCAGGACGTTTCCTACAGTCGGTGCCGACCAACTCGCAGACCTGGGCGTATCAGCAGTAGCAGCGCTGATGGCACCCAAAGTGTCCACAGAGGGCGCAGAGGTTCCGCCATCGTGAGGTGGAACGCCATCGGCTGGATCGCACAGGCCGGGAGGATTTCTGGGCGCTTCAGCAGATAGTCGTGGTCTCTTGACGAGATACTTGTCCATTCTGCATATCCAGGAGCTGAAAAAATATTGGGAGTTGGAGCGCCGTGAAGAACGATTGAAGGGAAGGTCCCTTCAGTATATGTGATCATGAGCATTTTCTTGAGCACCGAAATATCTATTTTGCAGCGCTTTGAGGAGCAAATATTAACCCTGGAACACTTTATGATCCGGAGAGCTTTGAAGTGCATAAATTTACAGCTTGAAGAAAGTGAACATTTCGGTGGATATCCACCTGGTTAGGAAAGGATAAATTAAAGAGAGAAGGCTCTAACCACGTAGGGTTCGATTTAAAAAAAAAAGTGCTTAGAGCCTTTTCTCTTCAATGTAGCTTGAAGAGAGGAGCGATTTTCACGCCTCTCATACTTTTCCGTTCTGGGACAAAAATACCGTATCCATTCGGGTTTCTAACTTTCTATGCGTTTCTCCAATTATTGGATTCCTGAGGGCACACATTGGAACA